TTCCTGCTGCAGGTCAGCCATGGAGGCATTCCATACTGTTTATTCATCCCCACTAATCTGCCCTAAAATGTAATCTACATCCATTTTGTCTACCTATTTTCACATAGGAGTTTTAGAATATAACTGCCTTAGCTTCAAAATGAATGATTTGAGAAAAATAGATCTAATCTCTGACAAAAGAAAACTTGTGGCCACTTATTAGGTTTCTGACTAGAAATGAACAAACCATTTTTCCATACCAAATAGTGTCCTTAGTGACACATTTCCCACATATGTTTCTATTTTACCTTTTTAACCTATGTTTTTACCATTTTGCCCACAAATGTAATACTTTCCCCACTGTGGGCATGGGAATTGCCTTCCAGTGCCAACAAAAAGAATTATGTAACTATTACAGCCTGACCGTGTAAATAAATGTTTTTACACTGAACCCATGGGGAATTTTTTAAAACAGATGTGTGACTTAAAGATACTATTTTATGAAAATATTTGATTTTTTAAAATATTTAAAATTCTACTATAATCATAAATGATAGAGATTTTGGTTCAAAATGTATTTAGTCCTTAATGCATTCTAATTATTTTTAACTGAAAAAAAATTTGCGAGTTAAATCTATTAAGCATTTAATTATATAACCTGTAGACCATCAAATTTTAGCAAATTCACCCAAAGAGTTGGTCTTATTCTCTTGTCATTTTAAAATCAGCTATAAAAAGAGATTTTTCTTCTCATAGTAGCCTCTTTGGCTCCTAGTTTGATTGTTGGAATTTTTAAAATAGGTAAATGTTGCCTAATCTTATACCAAATGCGTTGATAATTGAAAAGATAAAAGTCAGAAACGGCCAAACAGACATTTCATAAAAGAATGAATATGTTGGCTGGAAAATGCATTTTAAAGTTTAACTACACCACTAAGTTTTAAAAAGCGTTTTAAACAGCAAATGAGAAACTGCTTTTCTCTATCAAGCTGACAAAGGTTTTTATCATTCCAGCTGTTAATGATGTTTTAAAGAAAATGAGCATTCTCATTCATTGAAGGTGGAAATATAAATTGGTAGAACTCCTGGAGAGGCAACATGTGTCAAAAACCTTGAAAATGTGCAGATCTTTGACCCAATAATTCTATTTTTAGCAACTTATCCTGAGCAATAAAAATGCAAAACAAGTGTACAAAGACATTTATTTATTTTAAATATTTATTTATTTTTAAAATTGAGATATAATTGACATGGAATATTGAATTGGTTTTAGTTGTATAACATAATGATTTGATATATATATACATACTGCAAAATGATTACCACAATAGGTTTAATTAATTAACATTCATCACTTCACATAGTTACAAATTTTTTTTGTGATGAGAACATTTATTCTCTTAGCAACTTTCAAATATGTCATATAATATTGTTAATTATAGTCACCATGTTGTATATTATACCCCTAGGACTTATTTGTCATATAACTGGAGGTTTGTACCTTTTGACTCCTTTCACCCATTTTGTTCAACCCTCACCCCCAGCCTCTAGCAACCACCAATCTGTTCTCTGTATCCCTGATTTTGGGTTTTTGTTTTAGAATCAACATATAGGTGAGATCATCCAGTATTTGTCTTTTTCTGCCTGACTTATTTCAGTTAGCATAATGCTGTCAAGGTTCATCCCTGTTGTCACAATGTAGGATTTCCTTCTTTTTTGTGGCTGAATAATATTCCATTGTCACATATCACATTGTCCTTATCTATTCATCCATCAGTGGACACTTAGGTTGTGTCCATGTCTTGGAAACTATAAGTAATGCTGCAGTGAACAAAGGGGTGGCAGTTATTTTTTCTTTTTTTGAGATAGTAACTTCATTTTCTTCAGGTAAATATCCAGAAGTGGAATTGCTGGATTATATGATAGTTCTATTGTTAATTTTTCAAGAAACTTTCATACTGTTTTCCATAGTGGCTCCACCAATTTATATTTACACCGACAGTTCCCAAGGGTTCTCTTTTCTCCACATCCACGCCACTATTGGTTATCTCTTGCCATTCTTACAGTGTGAGGTGATATCTCATTGTGATTTTTATTCACATTTCCTTGATGATCAGTGATGTTGAGCATGTTCATAAACCTATTGGCCATTAGTATGTTTTCTTTGGAAAAAATGCCTGTTATGTATATTTATTGTAATGTTATTTTCTGTAAGAAATTAGATTCATCTACATATTCAGAAATAGAGGTTTGGTTAAATAAGTTATCATATATCTATAGTATGAAATATTACAACTATAAAATATTTTAAAATACATGATTGACATGGTAAGATGGTCATATTTTTAAGTGATGAAACTATGTTAAAATAGTAAGCATGGCATGAGATATTTTTTATCATTAAAAAGTTTTTGAATTTGCATATATTAGCTATAGAAAACAATTATAAGAATATACATCAAAGATTTAAATGAGCTTCTAATTTGTCTACATACTATCAGCCTCGAAACTCTCAAATCAATTCCCTGCATTGCTCTCTGAATTTAGAATCTTTCAGCAACCATCTGTTACCTATAATAAATCATAACATACAGTCCTATACATATCTATAGCTACTATGATTTTGTAGTAGAAGGCACTGTATGATCTCATCCTGACACTTCACTAACCTCCTATCACTTTACATTCCAATAAGCTGTGTTTGCTTCAGCAACACTGTAATACCTATAGTGTCACATATGTTCTGTGTTTCCTCTCCTTTTACATTTTGGGAGGCTCAGTATACAAATGGAGCTCGTATTGTAGGTCTTTACCATAAGGTGACTTGATTGAGCCATTTCCTTAAGGAATCCTTATCAGTCTGGTGTGTGTTTTTTCTCTTAACACTGCTCAGATTCCACAGAAATTATTTTTCCAATTTCTCTTCTGATACTTGCTGGTATTAGCTTTCTGCCAGTGTTCTTTGAGCCACATAGGAGAAGACTGGGGGTCTCCATATTGAGTATGCAAACTTTAATTTAATCTTCTGTTTACAACTATGGCATCATTGCACCCAGTTATTCCTCGTGTCTAACAATTACTCCTGGTGTTGTACAGTCCAGAGACCCTCTCTAGAAAATAAGCTTTTAGTTTTTTCTTTCTCCATAGTGTGGGAAGGCCAATGGTCTGCTAGAAGAAGAGGGAAGTGAATCTGGGATCTGACTACTTCTTAGATTTTTGACTAGCCTCCTGTTTTTAGTCTCTTTTTCATCCTCACTTCCAGAGGTACTTGGTGCCTCCTATATCTAGGCCTTTGAGACTTTTGCCATATCAGTCTGATTGCTTCTTAGAATTCCCCATGACTGGCCAGGAATTCAGCTTTTCAAGTCTGCTATGTCAGTTGCCATTTGCCCATCTGCCTTCCAGCTTCTAAATGTGATTGCTATCCTCTTCTCCTGGTCTCTTTGATTAAAAATAAAAGCCTTCTTTCTATTGGTTTAGTAGAGTTTGTTGGGGAGAAGGAAAACTATGCTATCTGTTCAGTCTCTCATTTTTCACACTTATCCCTCCTTCCATGCCTTGCTCATGCTCTCCTGTATCGTTTATTCTGCCACCTGAGGTGCTGGACCTCACATTAACCCTTCAGTGCTGTGCTCAGTTGGTATGTTCTCCAAATGCCATGGCCTGTGCCTAAACAAATTCACATCTCCTCCCCCTGTTCTAATCCTTGTACTTTGTCTGATCTATGTAATAGTACCTGAGGATTACAATTATTAGATTACATGTCAGTCTCCTTTAGTGGTTATATGTAGTAATTATAATCAGATGATTAAATTATTGTTTTAGTAGAGGTCATACTTTGATAAAAGATAGGACTGACATTTAATAACCATAGCAAAAGCACAGCATAACTAACTGTGACTTATTTTAATGTTAAAGTCATATTAAATACAAATACAAATGGAAGTTTATAAAATTTTAAGATTGAATCTCTTTAGTAGCTTACTAACAATGTTAAATATTGAGTGTTCTTTACAAACAGTGATAGTGCAAAGATAGACAGTAGCCTCTCTTTCTCTGATTGACTAAAAGTTTAGTTGTCAATTTCAAAACCAAAGTTATTTTGGAATAATTTATTGTAAGAATTCAAATAATTCTGAAATATCAACGTACCACATTTACTCTTTGATTGCAATGAAATTGAAATCAAGGTTGTACCAGGAGGTCAGACCAACCCATGTATATGAATCATATTCAAGTATCTTTTTGGTAGTGCTAAAAATACCTTTCTGACTTTATTCTTTTAAAAAATATATTTTTATTGATTTTTAGAGAAAGAGGGATAGAGAGATAGAAACATTGATGAGAGAGGAACATCATCATCGATTGGCTGCCTCCTGCAGGCCCCCTAATGGGATCAAGCCCACAACCTGGGCATGTGCCCTGACTGGGAATCAAACCTCTGACCTCTTGTTCCTGGGTCTATACGCAACTGTTGAACCACACCAGCTGGGCTCTGACTTTATTTAATTCTGTGAAGAGAAGTGTTTGATTATGTCCTCAGGAAATATTATAGAATATGCATTTAAGTATAAGGCTCTGATGATACCCAGTATAGACAGAAACTTATTTTTGCTTTAATTGGGAAATGTGTGAACTTAAAGCATTTTGAATTTAAAAATACAGACTGATCTAGCATAACCATATAAAAATAAGTAACCACTTTATAGATAAGACCTTTTGGAATATTTTATTGTCTATTCTTAAATGTGCAGTTCTACTTAAAATCAAAACAATAATATAAATACAGAGATTGCTGATGACACCATAATGTTGACTTTTCAACTGGTTAAGTCTTGTGGTGCTGGTAGAATCTGTAGAAACCCTTAAAATTATAAAATATCAGAGTTAGAAGGGAATGTAGAGCCCCTCAAGTCCAAATTTCTGGCTAATGTACTTCCAAAGAGCCTGAAATAGGAATAGCTTGAGATACTATTCGTGAATAAGTACTTATCTAGTGACTAGATGTACTTCTCTAACTAAAATTATTTTTTTCATGGATTTAATAGTTGTGAATATATGTAGATGTATGAGAGAAATACCATCCTAATACTGTCATGGTATTTTTCATACATAGATCAGCTGCGTATTTAAACAGCCTTTCATTTTAAATAATCTATAGAAAAGTGGCCTTTGCATAAAGTATGACTTGCCACAGATCATAATTTATTGCATTGGTGATTCCAAATTGCAAGCATTTTATTTGTGTGATCCACATTATGTTCCAAAATAAAAAACATACAAGAGAGGGTCTTCAATAATTATTATTTATTGTGATCCTATTTATGACCACAAAATTCTGTAGGAAAGAAACAATCAAAAGATTTAAAAGAACAAATATACTGGTGGTGAAATGTTTAATGTGTTTTGGTACTTGACATACATAATACTTCATAATTGTCATTCATCAGACCTATTCTAATCTGTTATTGTTTGTTTTTAACCAATGAGTGTGTTTACAGTTTAACTAGGCTTTATCTAGAATCATTACTTTAGAGCAGGGGTCCTCAAACTTTTTAAACAGGGTGGGCCAGTTCACTGTCCCTCAGACTGTTGGAGGGCTGGACTATAGTTTAAAAAAAAACTAGGCGGCTGCTAAGCAACAGGCAGCAGTGGCAAAAACACCCAGCGGGCCGGATAAATGTGTTCCGCGGGCCGCAGTTTGAGGACCCCTGCTTTAGAGGAGTGAAATGTAGACACAGCTGGAACATACTGCAAGAAGCTGCACAGATTTATTTCACACATGAGCCATAAAGAGGTTGAGCTATGTAATTATGCTCAAAGCAAAAGAACTGCTCTATGATCTGTGAAAGCTTAGATGGCAAATAAAATTAGAACTGGTGAAGTTTCTATGACCATGCAGAAAACTCAGTTTTAATTCTAAATAAATTTTACATTACTTTTGTCTAGCACCTTTAGGATTCACCAGTGATTATAGGTAGGAAGCCAATTAGAGAATGCTGCAACATCTGATCTTAAAATTGATTAAAATATTTTTATTAATTTCATAGAAGAAGGGAGGGGGAGAGAGAGATAGAAACATCAGTAATGAGAGAGAATCATTGATCGGCTGCCTCCTGCACACCCGCTACTGGGGATCGAGCCCACAACCTGGGCATGTGCCCTTGTCCAGAATCAAACCCGGGGCCCTTTAGTCCACAGGCCAGCGCTCTATCCACTGAGCGAAACCAGCTAGGGCCAAAATTGATATGAACTGTTAATTTTCAAATTGAAAATTAAAACATTAAATTCCAAATGTATCATAAACATCATTACCAACACCATTATCAATAAGCGCTTACTATATGCCCACTCTGGGTAGAGGGGATCAGTAATAGATTTTAGAGCCTAAGAGTAATTAGGTAGAAGAATCTAATAACACTTAGTATTCTTTTATCTCATATAGTAAAACTGTTTTACAGATAAGGAAACAGATGTACAAAATAATTTTTCTAAAGTAATTTAGCTAGTAAACAGGTTGAGGTGGAATACACATAAGAATCCAAATCCCACACTCTTATTTATTGCATCACCAAATTAAGTCACAGAATCTTCTTTTCAGAGTTTCACAAGTATATTAAAATATTGATGTCAATTGCCTGAGACTTTCACCTCATATGCAAGGATGGAATCCGACAACCACAGGTTCCCTCTTTGTACCATTTAAACTGTTGTATAATGATTTCAAGATGTGACTAAAGACTGGAGGCTTAGACATTGGCAGGATCTGTTTGAGGATTGATTACTCAAGGACATTTGTTACTTCTTTTAGGAACAGCATCTGTTGCAGTCGCAGGTATCCTTGCAGCTCTTCGAATAACCAAGAACAAACTGTCTGATCAAACAATACTATTCCAAGGAGCTGGAGAGGTACCTGCCTTATAGAATACTTACATTCTCCTAAACTAAACATAGAATTCATTTTAAATATTCATTAACTTGAAATTTGAGGTATTCTTTCAAATTTCTAGTATATTGTAAATATAGGTTTTATTAAAAGAGTCACAATTTTACATTCATTTTGAGGCCTATTAATTTTTCATAGGAGGCTTTACGGTATAGAGATACTTTTCACAGTTTTACAGTGATAAGTTTATCAGATGTTGCCATAGGTTTTTATAATGCATATTTAAGGTGCCATGCAATAACAAAAGTTTCAAATGTATGCTTATATAGAAAAGCCTTTAAGAAATAGTTAAGGTATGCTACCTGATGTTAACTTTTATATCCTCCAGTGTCATAAAAGTTTTCTTAATTTCACTCACATCTCAATGTTTACACATATAACTATATCCAAGTTTTTAAGAAAAAGGTATTTGAGAGACTCATTGTTCATTACAACTGTTCTCACAAAAAAGAACCAAAATATCTTATACTTTTGGAAGGAGATAGCAGCAAGACAGAATTATGCTGTTTTCTGTTATCTTTTTCTATAAATTTGTCATTTGAAAGAAAACTAGACACTAGCAATAACAATTAATCCACAAAATAGAAATTAAACTGTTAGTTGAATTGAGCTTCTTGTGAGAAAACTGCCAAAATCTGTTCAGAATTATAGAATGTAATAAACAGAGAAATGCTTTGTGGCTGTACCATATATATTTTAAGAAGCTTTAAATTTACAAATTTAATAAGATTATGACTAAATGCATTACACTCGTAGAAATTGTGTATATTATGTTGATTTTGATTTTACTTGTTCTTAAAACAAAATATACAAATCTAGAACTTAGATGCCAAGATATAGATGTGAAATATTCAGAATGTAAATCCCAAATTTGTTTTCACATTGAAATAAAAATCAAGGCAAATAAGAGTTCATTAACATTTGAATTTTTATTTCCGTGGATTGTACCATGCTATACTTCATTTTAGTTAACTTCTTTTGAATTTCCAAAGGATTTTTGTGAGTTGTTAAAACCCACTTTTGAAAACTAGTAGGACAGAAGTATTC